CTCTCATTTTCTCATCTTTCTTTTAAGACTTGAGAGTCTAGGGGGAAAAAATAATATGATTTTCACCAGAGTTTCCTGAGGAATAACTACATTTACAGTTAACTCATCTGTCCTTTTCTTACTCACGCTCACACAGGCCAGGCGCTTGTCAAAGATTAGTCAAAATGATGACCCACTGGCTAGCTACACATTTTCGAAGCTGCCTGCCCCTCCCACACACAGGCTATGTATGTGAAAGTGCTTTGCAAAGGGCAGATTGATGTCCTATTGATAATATCACCACAATAGGCCTCTTAATGGGGGCTATGATGGAGAAGACTGTCCTTTGGTGGTGACTATGGCCGTGGACCCTAATGTGGCTGTCACTTTTTTCCATTACCCTCGCCAGGCTCAGCCTATCACCTGTTCACAGACAAGGCTCCTGATCTTGCTCTCATGGGACATCTTATTGATACAAGGCTAATGTTGCCCAGCAAGAAAGTCTGGGGTCACTTGAAGGTTGTTTGCCTTTGAGAACTTCCCTCGATGTAGGTGTTGACTTAGCAAGCACCCATGCAATGCTGAGCAGTATTTAAAATTTACCGAACTGGCTTTCTCACTTTGGGACTCCCTCTGCAGGGAGACCTGTACCTCCTTGGTCAGCTGGCTGACACCCAACGCCATGCTCCTGCCTGGGTCTTGTTCGCAGCGCCTCCCTGTCCTCTGTGCTATCAGCTGGGTTCAGAAAACTGGCTTCGGTTGGAGAGTGAACTTTTCTTCCTGTCCTGCTTCCTTCTTGTCCGCCGGGAACTGCCTCCCAGTAAGGAAATCAGCTATCTGGTTTCAGACGTTCTAATGTTTTAAAGGAATTTCTTGGCTCCTTACAATGGTCACCCTTTCTCGGGCCCTCAGCGTTCTGCGCAGCCCGCCTCTCCTGTTAGCAACCAGGGCAAAAGCCTAAGAAAGCTGTGGGGGCTTCGCCACCATCGAGTTTTCGCTCAGCTTACCGCCTTTGGTTACTTTGCTGGTTGGAAACATGCAGTTCAAAGGATGCAAAATCTAGTGAGTTTGCGTCAGTTTTCATTTTTTAACTACGGTAAAACCCACTGCCATCAAGTTGATTCCACATCACAGCAACCCTAGAGAATAAGAGTAGAACTGCCCCATAGGGTTTCCAAGGAGCAGCTGGTGGATTCGAACTGCTGACCTTTTGGTTAGCAGCCAAGCTCTTAACCAATGTGCCATCAGGGTTCCTTAACTATAGTAGGGGTTACAAATTATCTTTAAGACCTAACGTTGTATAATTCTAACACTCCCAATCCTAGGCTCTCCTGGGCATGGTGTCATGTTTGCAAAAAAAAAAAAACACTTTGGGTGGAAGAGGTCTGCAGCCTCAGCATCCCCCAGGCGATGCTGCTCGATGCCACTGACCTCCTGGCGAACTAGGATGGGTGAATGGGGCGAGAGAGGAAAGACAGAACGCAGACCCCAGAGCTGCCAGGGCTGCTACCCACCCCACTGCTCACTGGTGGCAGAAGTGGCTGTTTTCCATGAAGGTGAAATGTCAGAGGCTGTATGGTCAAGTCTGGGGACTTGTGGGAACATGAATTCCAGCCTAGAAGGAGAAACCAGAATTATCTAATGGAAGGCCCCAATTTTTCAAAACCGCTCTGGGACAGCTTTTTAATCAGAACTTGAATAAGAACTGACAAAGGCCACACAAGAGCTGAGATGAATTTTAGACAGGTGAGAAAATAAACTAATGTTTTTATACCTGAAATCTTTCTATGTAACAGGTTGATTTGTTATTTGGGGAATATGAGAGAAAAAAATGTCTTCTATTACGGTAAGAAAATGCTCTTTTTGTGTTTCTTTAATGACCAGGAGAGACGAAAACTTTAATCCAAGAATTTATGAAGGAGAGAGAAAAGAATTTTAAAGGAGACGTATATTATGATAATGTCTGAAAAACGGAAAATTTTAAACTGTCCCTAAAAATGCCTTACAGGATTTTAAATTGAATGAGTTGGGGCGGGGGGTGGTAAGCTTACATCAGTGGGACTCTCTCCCTAGCAAAAAGACCAGGGAATATTGTAGTGAGTGATTTTGGTTATCACTTTTAGCAAAACTTGGGTAATATCAGGAAATTTAAAGGTTAGGCAACATTTTGCTGATAGTAAGTAACACTCCTGATTTTAACTATGAATTTTTTGCTCGTGGTATCAGTTTTAACCACTTTCAGTGAGGAAATCAATTGCCCTTCAAAGTGGCAGAAATAAAAAACTGGATTTTAAAACTCAGTTAATTAGCAGAATTAGATAACCTTTGACTAGGAAGGATAATATAACGTCTTAAAATACCCTGCTGTTTTTACTGTCCTCTGAGGATGGCAAACACCAACCATCAGAGTCTTCCACCAGCTTAATGTCCACTCCACTTTAACTCCACATCCACACAGGACACCAGACATACACTCAACGGCCCATTAGCTGGAAAATAAAATGAACACCTGCAGTGGGAACCAAATTACCCAAGTCCTAATCAATTCAGGCATTTTCTAAAGATAATCTAAGGAGCTTTTCTTTCCTTGTTTCCCAACGTTCCCCCTTTAGGTCCCTGCCCGCACAGCCCCCTCCCCTGAAACCCACATCTCCTCAGCACCACTGGAAGCGGGGTGTCTCCGGAGACTTAGGATCCATTGCTTGCCTCACCCAGACTGCACCTTCCCCACAGGAGTGGAGGAGCAGATGCTTATTTTTTCTTTCTGCCCTCTCTGGGGGGGCCTTTTCATTAGAGGGCAGAGAGAAGGAAGATGAACTGGGTTAAAGATGCCCTCCGTTGAGCACATATCAAAATAAGCTAAGTTAAATAGTGTATGGCCCAGTTAACCCATAGATGTTGTACCGCCAGTACAGAACGATTTGAAGGCTGCTGCTGCCAATGGCGAGATCCCTCTGCTTGTGAATACACAGCTGAACCTTTCCTGGCTACTCCCTGAGCCACACCGGAGGAGAAAGCTTAGAAACTCTCATCTCGGAGGATGTCGACTTTGAAATGCCCAGGGCCATCATCCCCACCCGCTTCAGCGCAGACAACAGGAGGCAGTCGCAGGCCCCGGAGGAAATGTGTGCACTCTGAAGACAGCTCTCAGATCACTCCTTTTCCGTTGGCCACGCGCTTCGCCACCCGCCAGGGGACTGTCATATTACCCAGAGGCTGCCTGTCCTACCCAGTTTTCACATCAACATTTGCCTCGCCCCGAAGCTCCAGGGCTGAGCGGCTCATCCGAGGGGCAGCTCGCGGAATCTGTCTCGTTCCGGCTCTTCAGACCGGATTCGAGGGGTCGGGGAGGTGCCGCGGGCCGGGGAAGAGAACCTTAAAAACATGCCCTTCTCCCCAGAAGCAGGGCCGAAGTGTCTGCGCCCACAGCAGCCCAGGGGCCACGTGCCCCGAATGCCGCTCTACGGCGGTCCACTCCGGATTTCTTTCAGGAAGAAAAACAAAACAAAACAACCCTAGGTTCCACGTGGGGCGAGAGTCCAGCCCCAGTCCCGACGCGGGAAGGGTGCTGGGTTCAGAAGCCACAAAGGAAGGCGCGCGCCCAGGCTCTAGATCAGGAGGTACTTGGGGGCAGCGCGCACGGAGGACATGCTGGCCAGCCTCTGCCCACTCTAAGGGACTTTCCTCCCAGAGGAATTTTCTCTCATCTTCCCCACGAGCGACAGCCCCAGGAAAGGGAGAGCCGCCGGATTCAAACAATAGCGCGGCTACCACCTTAGTTGTCCGACCGCTAACTTGACGCAGGGAGACATCTGAGGGGCATGCGTCTGGCGCGGGCTCCCCGGCACATCTCGGCGCCCAGGCGCCGGGCGGCCCCTTCACCAGCGCCTAGCTCGCCCTCGCTTGGCTACGGGCCCTTCCGGTGCAAGCTCCTTCCTGGTACTTTCTCTTAAAGCGCTTTAGGGAGAAAGGAGAGCTGGACTCAAATGAAGGTACAAAAGGCAGCCCTCACGGAAAAAGAAAGAAAAATCAGCAAAATCGCTTTGGTGGTTCAACCAAAGGTCAACAGCAGCATTTCCCCAGCAGCTGACAGGTCAAATGGTCAGGAAGCAACTGCCGAGAACAAAGCCCCCCGCTGTTCACCAGGGGCAAACCCATCTCGTTGGCACTGAGCAATTTTGTTGTGCTTTTAGGAGGGGCGGTGGGAAGAGGTTTCCGTCCCCCGCCCCCCGCCCCCATCTCCCTTCCTCTCGGGTGGACAGGTCCGGTTTGGAGAGGAAACGGAGGAAGGGGCAAGGGGCGCTCTCAGGGAGAGGAGCGGCTCTTTGATGGCGGAGGTCTGAAACGCCTCTTGGGTTCAGAGGCGAGTAGCGTTCGAGCGCGAAAGAATGCGCGGAATGCCGCAGCGGGAGGAAGGGGTGCAGCGTGGCAAGGAGGGTCACCCCATCGGCCTGCTGGCTCCCCAGCGCAAGGGGCACCGAGGGCCGCGGACCGACGGCCCCTGGCAGGTGCCGCCGCCGGCTCGGCCGAGGCCGGCGCACTGTCCCTCCAGTTACTTGGATAGGATGCTGCCCCTTCGGGGGTTCTGACTTCTGAATTTGACAAAACCCCCTTCCCCGAAAAACGTGAAGTTTCGCCAGCTTTCACTTCAATCAAGCACACCGCGCCATCGGATATTCGAGAATTGTGTCTAAACAAAAGGTCGGAATTCTCTGCTGTCCAGATTTACAGGGGGAAAAAGACACCTTCCTAGCCTCCCGTTCCCCAAATATCCAGTCCTATTGCCTCCTGCTCTCGGAGCCGCGGTCTCGCCCCGGGGCAGGAGGAGTTGGCCACCTTCCAGGAGGAGCTCAGAGTTGGGCAGCGGGAGAAATAATAAAGAGCGCTCCACACAATGTCTGCAAGCCCATCCGCGTTTCTTCATCTAAGGAGGGCGGGTTAAAAATCGAGTCAGCGGGCCGATCCCACCTCGGCGCTCACCCTTCTCCCATCCTCTCGGCCTCTCCGGGTCGGATTCAGTTCAGGGACGGAGCCCGCCAAACGAAAAGGCCCATCCTGTCCCCACCCGCACTGTGGTACTTACGAGCACTTCCCTGTACTCGCAGATGGGCCGCACACAGGAGTCGTTTCACCAGCGAGGCAAGAACCGTTAGTGGGTGTAAATAAGGGCGGAATCGCCAGGAAGGGTGAGGGCAGGTGACGGGGGGAAACGCGCGGTTCCTGAGGACTTCGGAAGCTCGCACACAAGCACAGAAACAGACAAAAATCTTGCAAACCCGTGCAGACCAACACGCACAAAGGAGCGCGCGGGGATCCCTGCAGCCACGAGTCACTCGGGGTACTCCTTCCCCTCCCTGTCCACTAAGGCGCAGGCCGACAAACCGCCCTACACACATACACACTTCAGCTCACATTCTGCCGCGCCTGGCACTTGGCGCCGGCGTTTACCTTTGAGCAGGCAGATGTCTGTCCGCTCAGCGTTGCGACGCAGCGCCTGCACCACCAGCGACACGGTGCTGTCTTCGCGGAGGCTCTCGGCGCGCGGGCTGCGCTCATCATAGACGATGACCGCCGAGTAGAGGCCAGAGCGCAGGCGGGCCCGCACCTCCTCGGCGGGCAGGATCTGCTCCAGGCTCACGGAGCCTTTGGCCCGCCGCCGCACGATAGTATTACAGCGCACGTTGACCGAGCCTCGGATGTAGCCCGCGCTATGCGCCAGGAACGGTCTGCAGTCCAGCAGCAGGCACTTGCCGCCGCTCAGCAGCCCCAGGGAGCCGTGGCTGCCGCTGCCTCCCGCGCCTCCGCCGCTCTCGTCCCGGTTCATCAGCCTTTTGAGCACGCTGCAGTCCATCTCCCGCAGCTCCTCCACTGTCACCATGGTCGCCGTGAACCTCGGCTGCTGGGCACGCGAGGAGGTGAAGGGCACCTGGCCGGCTGGGCTGCTGGAAGGGGCGGACGAAGGCTAAGGGAGAGCGCGTGCAGAAGTGGCTGCAAACTTGGCTCCGAGCGGCCACGGCGGGAGAGCCTCTTCTTCCCAGTCCCCTTCGTCCGGCAGTCTCCCGGTTACATAGCAATTCGAGCGGCCTCGGGCGCTAGGCAGGACTGCGCGCGGCGCAGAGGGGAGGTGGCAGTGGCGGGGAGTGTGTTTACGACAGAGGACCACGGGCTCCCTTCTGCTGTTGCCTCTATGGTATGGCCTGTTGTGCTGCTCCTACCGCCGCCGGCACCGCAGCTGCCGTTCCGGCCACCGTTCCGCACACGCCGCCGGAGCGCCGCGCACTGCTCCAGCTGGAGTTTCCTCCGCGGCTTATAGATTTATTAATGCTCCTCGGCTCTCCCGCGGGAGGGGAAAGAGTCGTTACCACCTCGCCCGGCCCCGCCTCTTTCCCGTCGCGGCCAGGTCCCCTCCCCCGGGGGCTGCTCCCCGCCCCTTCCTCCGCCCCGCACGCCCCTCCTCCTGCCCCCTCCCCGACGCGTGAATGGAGCGCCAACCGCGCGCGCCCAGTCACGGGAACGCGACGTCACAAAGACCGGAGTAAACAAGGAGCTCGGCGTTTTCCGCCAGGCCCATTCATAAATCCGAGACCTAGAGGAAGAGGGAGGCGGCCCCCGACCCGCCGGCTAGCGGCTGCGCCGGGACTTTGTGAATGGAGCGCGGCGGCGCCTCTCGCCCTCCGCCCGCGAACCGGGCCTCCCCGGCGCGCTTCCTGCCCCGGCACGAGCCCCTTTCCAGTGTCACCGCCCCGCTGTGCTGCGTTTGGCGCAAAGAAAACAGCTGAGAAGCTGGCCTAGCGGAGGCCAGCGGCTGGGGTTTGAAGTTTCGTCTATTTTTACCTCAGCGTCTCACTCTCCGCCCCCCTCTTAACTGTGAGCTGCCTGGGTCTCCTCCCCGGTCCCGAGGTGGAGAGGGAAGAGGTGCGACACGGCCCACCTTGCGAGGCCTGCATCTCCTCTCCCCAGATTTCAGAGTTCCTTCGGCCCGGCCAGTTCTTTTTAATACGATTCCTCAAGCGTTGGCTTATGCGTTAGTATGATCGATTTTCATCTTAAACCATTAAACCAGCTTTATATCTTCCCGAGGAACGTGGGCAAACCCCAACTTAGAAGATGAAAGAGAAAGTCCTCCCTCCCCGAAGCCCTACGGTAATAGGGGTGAAGTGTGGGGTTTGTTGCTTTACGACCCGGGGGAGGCATTAATTGCCGGAATGTTGTTCAGACGGAGGGGGCAAGGGTGGCACTCGCTTCTACGCTTCCTAAAATGTGTTTATTTAACCCTCGTGTGTGTGTGGCGCGGGGGCGGGGGGGAGGAAATCGGCGTTTCGGCTTTTGGGAAAGTCCTCGCTCCCATCTTGCACACGTGTGAATTGTCTTCTCAGGAAATGACAGTTAGGGTCCACGTTTGGCGCGGAACTAGTCCTTGAGAAATTTATGCGCAAAGAATGACCTTTGGGAAGGATTTACTCATGCAGGTTCAGGCTTCTTTGCATTCCTCTTTCCAGATCACGTCGATTTCACCCCGACCCCGACCCCAGCTTTACTTATGCATTTAATTTTCCTGGAGGCCACTCTTGGCAGGAGGTTTGTGTGCGCACGCGGTGGGGACCTGACAGAAGCCAAAAATTACTTGCCCGACATCTTGCCAAGTCTTGTTAGTGAGAATTACGGACCGAGGCGAGGAAATTACGGGACGCGCCCCGAGGCGGCCTCGAGGACTGCGGGGTCGAGTCTTCCACTCCAGCTCTCCCATGGAAGCCCTCCCCGCCCTCCTTCCCCTCTGCCTTTGTTCCGGGCGGAGCGAAGAGACGCTGCTCTCTCCTCCGGTCCCCCAGTGCCACCTCCACTCCCCCACGGGCCTCGGTAGGGGCCTCCACCTCCGAGACCTTCGAGCCGCGCTCCCGTCCCCCCGCACCCCGAAGCCCCCGGCGGCCCGGCCTACGTCTGCTCGGCGGTGAGGGGCGCAGTTTGTCCAAGGTATCTTTCCTTTTGCCTTGGGCACCGGTATGGCTCAGTTCGGCGCTGTAGTGATCCTGCAGTGATATTTTCTTCAAAATGGGTTTTTTTGCATTGATTTTAATTTTTCAAAAAGCATTGCATTAAAATATTTATTCGGATTACTAACTTTTTGGCGCCCCTTTAAATTTGCGTCTGAGTTCCCACCATAGTCCTGGGCCTGGAAGAGGCCATAACTGCGGACCTACCGAAGCCGCAACACGGGAGGATCTTGGGCGCCGGGCACTCGGGTGGGAGGTCAGCGGTCAAAGGCTACCTGCGTAGCCTCCGGGTGAAGAGGTTTATACTCCCTCCCGAGGGCTAATGGGACCTCTCTCCTGCGGCTAAGGTGGTTAGGAGGCTCTAATGATTCGCTCTCGCTAGCATACGGAGTGTGCCTTTTCAAAGGAGTCCCCAAGCAAAGATGTCCCGGCCCGACTGTCCCAGAGGGCGGCTCAGGAATCTGACCCCCGTCAGGTCCGCGCCGCGGTTTAGGAGCTCTTCCCACCCAGAGAAACACAGGGTCCTCTTCAGGGGCTTTGGTAAGACATTTCTTGGAAGAGTCGGGGGCAGGCATGGGTCGGTTTCACACGTGTCCCAGGAGCTGGGGAGACTTTCCTGGGACGCCCGGGTCGCGCTCTGCTAGTCTTTGTCTCCCAAACGGTGGGGCGCCCGTCTGCCCGCTAGACCCGCGCCCAGCGTTCACGTGGCCGGTGATAACAGCCAAATGGCCGGGGAGGGGGGTGGCTGCCCACGAAACAGAGTTGCTTTCTGCACCTGACAGTAATCCACGGTGTCGAAGCCGGTAAATCCTGCAAGCGAGTCACACAGAAAGGCCGTGGGCGGGCGCGTGTGAGTGAGTGTGCGTCCACGTGCGCGTACCCGCGTCTGTGCGCCTGCGCGCCCGTGCCCTCCCGGGGGGCTGGGGGCAGCAGCTTCCGATTTCACGTAGTTCAGTCGGGAGCCCTTGTAGCTGAGAATGTGAATTCTTCATTTTTGAAAGAGATTAATTTAAAAGAAGACATCCCACCCCACCCCACCCAAAAAAAAACCTCGTGAATTAGCGTTCAGTTGTGTGAATTTCAACAATCGAGATTTAAATTACCTTATTGTATTTATCCGGATCCTGTGTAAGCTCCCTGGATAATTTTTTTGTATTGTGAGGGGTTGGGCTATTAGCCCCTCAGTTCAATTAATGAGATGTGAGGGCTACCGGTTACAGACTATAGAGATGATAAAACTTATCTCCAATTAGTCTGCAGGCTGGGGTGGGAGACATAACCAGTTTCCACAGGAAGTTTGTGGAACAGCTTGTCCGAAAGTAGATCGTGGAGAAAACAAAGGCATTTGGAAGGAAGACATTATCTGAATGTCATTTCAAAGTTAATTTAATTAACAAAGGCATGTCTGCAAGAATTGGGATGGGATTGCCCAAGGAGAGCTGTTTTATTTATATTCAGCAGTAAACCTCAGGGTGAAAATACTTTAAAAATTCATTGTGACAAGTAAATACAAACTCTCTTTCATCAGACAGTCCTTAGACCGACCTTATTAGTCACTGTCAGGCTCCAGAGAAACCTCTGGTCTTGTTTGAAGCACATTTATTTCCAATTAGGAAGTTGTGTGATCTGGGAATTTAAAGCCCAGAGTAGAATCCCCAGAGAACCATGGCTTCTATTCTGGTTTTGATGCCGACCTCTGACTCACTGCTCTGTCCCAAGGTGCCTGAATAAAACTTGCCTGAAAAATCATTAATGAATTAATCAAGGTGGCGATGGAAGGAGAGGTCCTGTGGATTCCCCGTTCCTGACCTTTCCTGGACAAAGAGGGGGCCTTGCTCGTTACTCTGAACTGGAACAGCGACGGACCATTTTATATGTACCTGTTGGCTTGGCTTCTTAGATGAGCTTTTTGGGAAGTTTGCCTGTGTTAGTGGGAATACTGAAAAACAAAACTGGGAGGCTGTCTCATGCAGCGGACTAGAAGACTGTGCCGACACAGTGCGTTTTGGGCAGCATTTATAAATGGAATTGAAAAATGTCTGTCATTTCCTGCCCACCCCTGCCCTTTAAATCAGGACTCAAAAGATGGAAGGTCTTCAACATCGAAGTGGAAGTTCACCAGAAAACTCAAAAAAATAGCCTGAAGGTGTTTTTAGTCCTGATGTTGTCACAGATCTGTTCAGTAGCCTCCATTTATTTCCTGTGCATGACACAATGTTGTTGTTAGGTGCGGTGGAGTTGGTTCTGACTCATAGTGACCCCATGTACCACA